CTATTTTACACATGCTGGGTCTGAGGACCAACTTCATCTAAACCCACTGTCTTCGATGTCTGTGCGCAGTTTGACTTTCTACATGAATAGTTCTCTGTTGCATAAACAGCAACGGGCATTAAAACAAATCTATAGGTGCCAATGTTTGTCTGCCCTCAGTTCTCAGAACCACAAGTCTTTCTCCTCAGCAGTCACCTGAGCCACACATCAACGCCTCCTGGGAACATTAGGATTCCCGAGTCGCTTCCACACCTGTCCGCACATCTGGGAACATCAGGATTCCTGAGTCAATTCCACGCCTGTCCGCACATCTGTCCATACCTGAGTCTGCAGCAATGGCCTGAATTCTCCCTACGCAACCAGCTAATCTTTGCCTCCTTCAACTACTCTGTTCTCATCTTTGCAATTTAATAAGAGAAGCTTAGCTTCTTATGCCACACGGGGAAGAGAATAAAAATAACTCACTTAAATTAATCTGACCCACACCACACCTGGCTTCAACTAGTCTTAATATAATCATGTGCTCTTATCTCTAAGAAGTTGGGCTATATTTTTATACTTCCCAGGCGCTTTTTTAATGTTGGGTTTGTTTAACCCTCAGAGGATTCTGTGTGGTGGGTGGAGTGGGGATCACTAGAGGAAGCATTCCAGAGTGGGTGGCACATTCATGTTCCCACCTGGGTATACCCAGGGCTGTGCAGCAGATGCTTGTCTCCCCACATGGGAAAATGACTTGCACTCCCAGGCTAGGGTATAAGTCTCCCACTGTTCCATGTGTCTGGTCCAGCGGCCACAGCTAAGCGAGTTCGTCAGCTTTTAACGTGGACGTTCCAATAGGTTGAGTGTTCCTCTCACTTCTGTGTCACTGAGAAACCAAGGAAACGGTTTGCTTTCCAAAATCGCACCAGCATCCTAAATCCAGGAGCTGACTTGGTGCGGACCGTTGAGAAGGAGTCCATTGGACTTGCTCTTCTCTGTCTCCCACACGGAAAATCCCCTCTTCAGATGGCCGCTAAGACAGACAATTGGTAACGAAAAGCAGGGCTAGAAAATCCACATTATGTTTAATGCCTGATTTCACTTAGTTAATTGATTCATTTATGAGAGCAATTCGTATAAATCCCCAGGGACACTTGTTAAGGTTGCTGCTGCCTTATGGTTTCGCCACACCATATACTTCCTTTATAAATATCCCTTAGCAAACTAGGGATTGGTCCAAGAATTCTGAGCTGTCCACTTCTCAAATCATAAGTAAATAGTAAATAAAATTAAAAATAAGAGGTTTGCCGGGTGGTGGTGCACGCCTTTAACACCAGCACTCAGGAGGTAGAGGCAGGCGGATCTCTGTGAGTTTGAGGCCAGTTTCTTGTCTTTGAACAAGTTCCAGGACAGCCAGAGCAATGCACAGAGAAACCCTGTCTTGAAAAACGAAAACCAAACAAACGAAAATAAGAGGTTTTCGTGCCCCTGCCCCAAGGCTTCAGCTGATTCACAAATCGAGCTGCCATGGCTGTCAGCTCCATTGCGATGCCAGGCTGATTTGCAGGTGTCGACGCGAAGCTTTCGGGATTCAGGTGGAAATGTGAACTGAAGGCTTCGTGGAAGCATCCAAATAGTGCAGCCATCCCACGACTATCCCACTCACAAGATGAGCAGGCGGAGAATAGAGGTGCGGTCTTACACACCTCAGCTCTCACTCTGCTTCAGAAAGAAGCACCCCTGAGAGCCTGCTGGGACTGGCCAAGGTCACGAGTTGGTGATGAAGGTTCTGAGAGGATGACATTCAGACTGCCTGGCTTATACCCACATGTAAATGAGAACATTGCTATCACCCTTAGCCAGAGCTGGTACCTCCAACCCCATCCAGCCTCCTGGTGTATTTATTCAGTTTATTCCAGTAGGAGGAGGCGAGAATACAGGCAAGTAGCGCCAAATCCATGCCCAGCACTTAGAACACAACCTGACAGCCCCTCCTGGCTGGTACTGAAGAGGGAAGACCATCCTTGGCAAGTAGCTGGCCCACATCAGAGGAAATGCAAACATAAAAACTGCCACTGGGGGAGACCATGAGACAAGGAAGTTCTGCTCTCCTAAGACTGGCAATACTAACGGTAGCCATTAGAGTGTGGTTATTGTTTCCTGTTTAGCAAATTAAATACACAACTTAGGAAGTATGGGAAATGCAATCAGAAACCACCGCGGGAGGAGACCCCGAGACAACGAGAAAGTTCTGCTCTCCTAAGGTTGCCAATTCCAGTGGTAGCCATTAGACTGCAGCTATTGTTTCCTGCATAGCAAATTAAGTGTGCAGCTTAGGAAGTACTGGGGATAAAAATAAATGAAAAAATATACGATCTCTTAGTTGCGCTGTTAATAAGGGGAATCTGTGAGCTAATGGAGCAACACATGAAGTTAGTCACACTTGAAACAGCTACATTGCTTTTCATCAGAGGGGATCCAGAGAGTCAGGGTGCAGTCAGTGGTACGGAGCTGAGCAGTGGTAGGGAATGCCTTTAATCCCAGCACCCAGGAAGCAGAATTAAGTGAATCTCTGTAAGTTTGCGGCCAGCCTGGCCTACAAAGTAAGTTCCAGGATAGCCAAGGCTACACAGAAACCCTGTCTTGAAAAACAACAACAAATTAGAATGCAGGAGACTCTATTTCCAGCACTTCTCAGGGGAAAAAAAAAATCAAGTGATTCAGAAAGAAGTTGAGTAAGGAACGGGCGAGGGTGGGCAGCTGAAGAGAGAGGAGATGGAAGTGGGCAGAAAGACCAGAGGCTTGAGGTGAAAGGGTGATGCTTGGAAAATAATGAGAATTTGGATGAAAAGCACAATGTGCTATACAAGGTAAATTATCACTCTGCAGCTAATGTAAGTAACATTATCCGTCTCTCACTGTCTTATATGGCAAGAACAATGTGGAACCATGTGTTGAGGGGCCGTTTGTGATAGTCTGACTTTGAATGTAATAACACACACACACATACACACATACAGACACACACACACACACACACACACATATATGAAATTTGAGAGGTGTCCTTGCAGGGGCCTCCCAAACAGTAGCTGAAACTGAAGTCACTATCTGACCTGCGGGACTGCACATACCAGACATACTAACTACCAATAGAGAAAAAAGGTGGATGTTTCCAATTTGAGCCCTAATTCCTGTTGGTCACAAAGACAAGTTCCCCAGATTGGTGATTTGGGTTACGACTGAACAGATTCCCACGAGGGCTTAAGTAGGACTGACCAGGGCATGGAACATGGGGCTCTGGCCAGTCTTGGGAGTTCAGGGTGCTACCGGCATGAGTTTCTTTGGGCCTCAGCAGCTATGTGGAATTCTGCTATAGAGGTAACCGCAGGGAACAGGTGCAGGGGAGGTTATTGGAGATCACTAACATTCAGACCATGATGGAAGGCTGAAAAACAAGTTTATAAAGGCAGGTGTAATTTGGTACAATGGGTAAAACCCCCACTTCTGGTCACAGCACTTCCATATCATTGAACTTGTGTAACCTTCTCATAGTAATTAAGGGCAAAATGGGGCTTTGTGTTCACTGACTCATTCTGAGCCTTAGCTTCTTGTTGTTGACCTTGCACAGACAATTTACTGCCTCTAAGCTCTGATTTAATTTTTAATAGGAGTTTCAGCATCCACATTAAAGGATCAGTTAACAAATATTATCTTTCAGCACAGAATATGTTGTTGGTGATGATGATCATTGTTGCTATAAAACAATTTCATTTTATAATACATACATGTATACACATACATGCACACACATATATGATTCAAATCCGGGCAGTGGTATCGTATGTCTTTAATCTCAGCTCTTGGGAGGCAGAAGCAGGTGGATCTCTGTGAGTTCAAGGCCAGTCTGGTCTACAGAGCTAGTTCCAGAACAGTCAGAGCTACACAAAAAAACCTTGTCTCAAAAGAACAAAAATAAACAACTTTCACTGCCTTTGTAGTTATTAGAACTTTCTTTTTCTAAACGGTTGGGCAAATGTATGGCTCAAAATTCTGACTTTCATTGGTTTTGTTTTCAAATCCCCAGTGTCAATGCTTGATACATTTTACACTAGTAGGAATTTCCATAGAGTGGATATATATAGTGTCAGAGGTTTATAAAATATTATTGTAGGCTCTGTGTTGTAAGTGCATCTCATATTAGGAAATAATTAAGATGAAGATGGTCTGGGTAAAGGACAGACCTGATGAAAATGTGTGATAAGAGGGTCTTGTGGAAGACTATGAAACCAGGGGCCAGACAGCTGTCAAGATGCTGTCTCAGAAAGTGTCCTGGCTGCAGTACTTGCTCTTTAAAAATGCCCAGGCCCCTCTCTCTGCCTTCATCGCTTCCTCCAGCAAATTTAGAAGGTCGCCATATATTGACCCCTTGTTACCTCTGCTGTACCCGGGGCTCACAGGTGCCCTTTGGCCCAGGCCATCTCTGCCCTCTGCCCTCCTCTGGCTTGGCAGTACCTAGTCAAAACATTGTGAGGGTGGAAGGCAGAACCTCAGCCCCGCCCTCTTTGCTTGTGTGGGTTTCAGCCAGACCCGGGTGTTATTTTAGTACAACTTACAGTATTTAATTTGAGGATGTGTGTGGACTAGAAGGAGGGACCAGGACAATGTTTTTCCTATTGGCCAAATGATTAAATTTGAAGTTCTAAAAGAAAGAAAGAAAGAAAGAAAGAAAGAAAGAAAGAAAGAAAGGAAGGAAGGAAGGAAGGAAGGAAGGAAGGAAGGAAGGAAGGAAAGATCTAGCTTGTTGCAAAGTTGTATCCAATTTGGAAGAGAAAATTGTCTGGAAAATGTCTCCCAGGCAAGGGACCACCCCTCTTCTACCACCAGCCACCTCACAGGCCCATCCCCACCTTGGGTACCACCTGAGCAGTCTGTGGCCCTGCGTGGTCCTTCCCTTCCCGAATATGCCCACCATACCTTCACCGAAAGAACATTCTACAGGTGTGTTTCATTTCTTTCAGTCCTGAGAGTTCCGCCACCGTTGCTGCTGAGCCATGGCTGAAGGAGAAATCACCACCTTCACAGCCCTGACCGAGAGGTTTGATCTGCCTGCAGGAAACTACAAGAAACCCAAACTTCTCTACTGCAGCAATGGGGGCCACTTCTTGAGGATCCTTCCAGATGGGACAGTGGATGGGACAAGGGACAGAAGCGACCAGCACAGTAAGCAGCTGTCCAAATTGCACCCGCACTTTCCTGTGTCCCCCCCTAGTCCAGCATGGGAAGGCGATGAGACTGGGTACCGGTACCCACTCTCCGAGGCTCTGTGTGTAGGCAGAATGCATTCAGAAGTGAGATAACATACGTGGACATGTACAAAGGGGCTGGCTTTTGGAAGCCAGGGAACTATGGGCTAACACTTAGCTAATTATATCTTATTGCAAGCTTTTGAAGGACTCTCTGTGGACCTGAAATAACATTGGCTTTGGTTCAGTCATTACACACCCCCTCCCCAGGTTTCTATAAACTAACAAAAGATCAGCCCCCCCCCCCCAAGCCAGACAAGGGCCTGCTTGTCCACGACGGGAAGAACCCGATGGCTATGGACGGGAAATCCTGCACAAAGATATGGGCTCCATTTCAAGTTAACAGACTCTCCAGGTGATGTCTCCACCGGGCTTGATTTGAGCATCCCCCATCTCTAAGCACGGCCTAACACATCATAAATTATGCAGTTTTCCCTGCAGCGCCTTGTGCAGATGTGGCTGTGGTATGCAGGAGGGAAGGGGTCAAGTCATTCTCCAGACACTAATGGAGCCAGAGGTGGGAGCCACAGAGTGAGAGGCTGACAATTTCGGGCTTTCCCAGCAGCCTGGCTTTCCGACAATGTTGATAAATGGAGGTGTGGCTTAGGGAAAATAATCTTCCCGACCAGTACTGTCTAGCGCTGGTGTGTGTGTGTGTGTGTGTGTGTGTGTGTGTGTGTGTGTGTGTGATATTTAGTGTCTGCTTTCTACAAGATTCAGGGAGTCCCTGAGTACCACTAGGGTATTAGATGGTGTGGGGAAATCTGATCTGCTCCCTGCATAGAGGACTGGCAATCTCAAGAGTCAAACACATTGCAAGCCAAGACATACAGGAGAGCACAGGAGGGTGGAAGACTCGGGACTGACTTGAAAACGGGATGCACATGGCTGATGTCATGGCCTCTGTGTAATTATACCCGGTGTAGGCACCAGACTTCACAGACTCTGTGTGATGGCGGCTTCTGAGATGGCCCTCTGCTCAGTCTCAGATGCACATGTGACTGGGATGGGTGTTGGCATTGTCCCTTCTTCCCCAGAAAGCAGGGTGCTAGGGCTTGCAGTTGGGGCAGGCTCATGATTTGGGGATTTTGCTTTGATAACTTGTCTTCAATTGGTCCTCCTATATGTTTTAGTAGGTACCAGAACAAGCCAAAATAGAGATTCTAGAACATTAAAACTAAGCAAGTTTGGGCTGAGTCTGTAGCCCGGTTGATAGAGTGCTTGCCTAGCATAGGAGGCCTCGCCAAATACAAGCCGGATATGCCATTATACATCTCTAAACTCAGCACTCGGGAGGGGGAGGGGAGAATAAGCAAAAGCAAAGTCATCCTCCAGCTACACGGTTGGAGCTGGGCATAGAATAGAGACCCCCATCTCACAAATGAACTTAGACTTTATCTCATTATATCAGGCAGGTTATACAATTCATGTGTTCACCCACACAACCCAGGGGAACAAGCTTTAATTTCTCTGAGTTTTAAATGTTTGTAAACCCTATCAATTTCCTGCACTAATGGGGGATATTCTAGCCCCCAAGATCCAAATCAAAGGTGATGGCCATTGGCGACATGTTTCTTGAGGCTTGCCTGGTTCTTGCAAACCTTAAGCTTTGGGGGAACAAGAGGCTACAGTTACTGGATTTCTGGACAAATGTCATGTGCCTTCCCTTTGCTCATTTTGTCATTAGCCACATAGGATGTCTCTGGGTGCATAACACTGGGACAGCTTGTGGTGGCACCGAGCGACCGGCTTAAGCTGTCAGAAGCCCTGGGAATTCCGCATAGCTCAGTAGGAGAGCTGTAAGGAAGTGGGCACCCAAGGGATGCTGGGATATCTGCTGTGTGAACTTGAGCACACTCATGCTTTTCTGCTTAAAAAGAAACGAGAATACCAATTACAGGCTTCATGAGAGAGTTAAATGAAATAACACAGCAAACATTCTGGACACAGCGCCTGCCCGGCCCAGGGTAGCGGCCCAGTACATGCCAGCAGCCAGTGTTACTGTTAGCATCCTGCATCTCTAGACTTGCTGCAGCGTATGGACGTGCAATGGGAGACTAAGGCGCTTCTTCAGACCCACGAAGGGCTAGAGTCTAGATTCGGCCTTCTCTGCCAACATTCAAAGCAGTTCTATGAGCTTACTGTTTGCTTACTCTGGAGCTAAGAAGAAGGGCCAAGGGGGCAGTGCTAAGATAAACAGGCAGCAATCTGCCCTGTACCGGTTGAAACCACAATGGACAATCCACCTGCCCTCTGCAGTCAGGGCCCTGGGATGTTGGTGTTCACGTCCTACTCTGCCACTTTCTAAGCAGACAATAAATAGTCTCTCTGTTTTGCATGAAATACTCTGCTAAAGATGCCAATGATTCTTCTAATCCCCGATATCCGCTGAGGTCCAATTTTGGGCAGACTTTTAATCTCATTGAGACTCAGCTTCCTCCTCCTGGAATGGGAGTGCTGGTCTCACTCCTCCTGGGCATGGGCCATCTCCCTGAGTGTGGATCTGTCGCCCTCTTCTGCCCAACGGTGGCACTGCCGCTTTGAACCTCGGGCCTCAGAGGCAGAGGCAGCTTTGGGCAGTTTGGAGTAGAAGCCCTGGAGACCCATCATGATCCACACACAATCTGCCACACGGTTTTTGTTTGTTTGTTTTCTTTTTGAGACAGGGTTTCTCTGTGTAGCCCTGACTGTCCTGGAACTCACTCTGTAGACCAGGCTGGTCTCGAACTCAGAGATCCACCTCCTTCTGCCTCTCGAGTGCTGGTGTTAAATAAAGGTCTGTGCCATCACAGCCCAGCTTAGAAGTTCTATTCTATAGCCATTGACCTGAGCATGATAGCCACCGCCGCACCCCAAAGTCTCTTGAAGAAAGAGGGCCCTTAAAAGTCAGTGAGATACTCAGGTAAATCATAAACCCCACAAGACAGAACTTGCCTCAGACCTCACAAGACAGAAGTTCATTCCTTTCATAGTGTCTCTTTGTCCTCAACGATTGACATGCTGTCACAAAGTTGGGAAATTATTCCGATTTGTCTGTCTTACCCTTCCTCGGGACAAACAGTTTCCAGGTATCTTACCCGTGGTTCCAGCCTCTGGTGGACACTGTGCACTGGCGGTCCCAAAATAGACTGAAGTAAAATGTCTCTACCAGATTCCTGTAGAGACGGGGTCAGGGCTTGTGCCTTCACCAAAGCTTGGGTCACAGCTCTGGGCAATGGTCCGTACATGATGCAAGTACTAGTTACAGTGTCATAGTAACCACGATAGAGACAGACAGACAGACAGTGAGGGAGGGCTACTGATTCTGGAGCCCCTGGGGATGCAGCTTGTGAAAAGAAAGCTTTTGATATCTGGGTGCCAGCCCTGAGAGACTGAGAGAGTCTAGGGAGAGCCACGGAGCAGGGGAGGTGGCCCGTTCGTGTTGAACACGGAGTAGGTAAAAGGTGTCACAGATCTGTGCCCCTCTCCTTGTGGCTACACTTCTGTGTTCACTCACGTGGTCGTGGACTGGACTTCTCCCCCGCAGGCCCCTAAAGACAAGGACTTTGTGTCTTGGTGGCCGACACTGTGACTTTGCCCGGCACTTGGCTCAGTGTCCAGTAAACATTAATTTGATGAGTGGCTGACTTGTATTGTTGGCAGATAAATTTAAACCCAACAATATCCCAAGAAATACCTGTCAAGCACTGGCACATGCCAGGCCCTGCACAGATGGTCATTTCCACCTGCAATCCTCTGTGGTCACTAGTCACCATCACGCTGACTGGCCCCTCACAGGGACAGCTTGTGGAGCCTAAGTTCCTCTGTTCTAATAGAATTATCTGAGGATCCCACCACCACCCTGATAAGACAGCATTTCCACCCACAAACTAAATACATTGGCATGTTCAGCCTATCACGTGGCTTAGACAGGCAAAAGGAGGTTGACGTCCCCTGACTGTGTTTACTGAATCTGTGACATTTTGTGGTAGTTACTTTTCCTCTATGCGCCTAGGTTTCCTTGTTTTAAAAACAAGAATCCCAACAGTTCTCTGCCTCTTAGGAAAGTCAGGCTGTGAAAGGTGATGTTTCTACACATGCCCAGCACACTGCCAGGCCCCTCAATGTTCAAACAGTGCCATTCTCCAAGGTCACCATCGTCCCCCTTCGCAGGCTCGCTGCCTCCTCATCTAACCTAGCTGATAGCTGGCCATTAAATGTTAAGCTCGTTCACAGAACTGCTGGTGACTCCATCCCAGCTTCCCCGAGACTGTCTAGCTGGAGCTCCTGAGACCTGGCATAGAGTCACAGCTTCCCAGGCCCTAGCCCAGCACGCCCTTCCCATCTAACTTCCCCTGGACAGAGACACTGGAGCAAAGGCAAAGAGTCCTATGCCTGTCTGCTCTTCCTGCTAGAGTTTCCTCTCTGGAGAAGGTATGTCGGGGCTTATGCTTCCATAAAGTCAGCAGCTGGAACGGCAGCTAGAGAGGAATGGCACACTCCCTCCTAAGCATCCCTAATTTTCAGCCTCCTTGTGGAGCCTACAGCCCCTAGCCTCCCCAGCACGTAGGAAGGAGGCTGTGTCGGGGGAGGATCCTCGGCACCACTCACCACACAGATGGAAATGTTCTTCAGCAGAGTGTGTGCCAATCAAATATTTATAAATCTAGCCACATCCTAAAGGCACCAGGGGAGCTTGCTAGTCCAAAGGATCTTACTGCACTGACCTGGATCCAGGCAGACCACACTGCAGTGCACTGTTTGGGGGCAGTCCAGACTTCCGCTGTCTGGTCTGATGGGACTCCACATTTAATGGTAAAGGCTTTCTATCCCCCACCAGCTTGGGCTGCAAGTCTGGACAGCTTCCCAAACAACCGCGTTGGGGAGGTCTGGGCCCTGCTGCCATAGCCAGAGAGAGGGGCAGGGCTACAGAGAGCA